TACTGGCATGGAAAATTAACAATTTTTCAATTAAAATCAATACCGAGTGCTTTTTTCGGTTTAAGCCAAAAAGCAACGCACAGACGACGATGAACAGGACGATGGCTTGTGAGTGGGTGTGAGTGAGTGAGTGAGCGAGTGTATGTGTGTTTTGTGGTCGAGGTCGAGCCTTGTAAGGGTGGCGGGTGGGGCGGGGTAGGTAATCTGCATGCGCATACATTTGGCCTGTCACGTGTAGGTGTGCGTGTGTGTGTGTGTGTGTCTGTTGTGTGCACATTTCATGAAAATAGCTTAAGTGCCTGAAAATATGCAATGCATTCGACACGACACAGCAGCAGTAGCAGCAGCAACTTGCTATGTATGTGTGTGTGTGTGTGTGGATAGACTAACTGTTGTGGTTTCTATGGGTGTGTCGTTGTTATCGTTGTTGTTGCTGCCGTTGCTGTTGTTAGGTTTTGGGCGCCGCTGTCATCAGACAAATTTCTAAAGCTTTTTTGCAGACACGCACGCACACGCATACACACACACACACACACACGCACAGACACAAAAACGCAAATAGTGCCGTTATTTTGCATGACATTTACAGACTGCATCTGTATGTGTGTGAGTGTATGTTGGGGTCGTAGCTAGCTCGGGTCGTTGCGGTCGTTCGGTCTTTGGAGTATTTTGTGGTTGTCTAACTGTTGAGCTACACACACACACACACACACACACACGCACATATGTGTATTTATAAATGTGTGTGTGTGTGTATACACCCACGTGCTCGAAAGCAACACTAGCAATGTACACACACAACCTTAAATGCAAATTCACGCACACACAAACAGCTAAACACAAAATGGCCGTACTTTGGCGCCATTGCCTTAGTCAGTTGTCTCCATCGTTGTTGCTATTATTGCTGTTGTTGTTGCTGATGACTATTGCCGTTATTGCCGAAAGAGCCACAATGCAGAGAAAACATGAAAGTGTGTGTGTGTGTGTGTGTGTGGGAGAGAGAGAGAGAGAGACAGCCCGAGAAACTAGGAGGGAGCATTTTGAAGAGCAAGCGAATGAGCTAGAGAGCCGGTTAGAAGGCATCCACATCCACATCCTGGCAGGCAGCCCCACCACCACCTCGCCCAGAATTGAAGTGTTAGTAGTAATGCTACTAATTGGACCCGCTTTTAGCAACGCGTCATGTGGCCCCAAGCAAGGCGAAACAAACCGAACCGAAAGCAAGGCTTCTTCAGCTTTCCCCACTCGCCCATTTACGCGTTCTACTCTGTCTGTTTTCATTTCTGTGTGTGTGTGTCTATATATTTGTGTATGTGTGTGTGTGTGTGCTACTCCAAAGTCTATAATTGGAAAATTTGACACACTCGAAATTCAATTTTAGCTACGAGTAGCGCGGCAGTAGCATCGTTGAGACTCAATGCCAGGATAGAATGTTGGTAGTTGGTTGCTGGTTGTTGGTAAGGATGCGCCGATATGGGAGAGTGGATGCATCGAAGGAGCTGAGGCCCCTCCACAACTGGAGTATGCGTAAGTAAGTGACATTTGAATATGTTAGCTGGCATTAGCTGCTTAATATAACTTTTAATTAGCGCAAAGTTTAGGTGCAACTGTTATGGAAATACTTCATTATCAATTATCGATTGTTAATTATGTATGTTTGCAAGCAATGCAAAATTTATACGATATTTGAAAATACTGCCGTCCTTTTTGGGGGGAAATGTCAACTATTTAAATTAGGGATACCAATGAACTCCAATCTGATTGTAATTAATTGCATTAGTTGTTAAGGATCTAGTTGTAAATAAATAAATATAGCTGCATTCCAGATTATCTGACAATTGCGGATTATATCCATTTTCTACGATTAATTATATCTTCTCTTTATTCAAATGTTTATGAATTTACTAAATGAATGAAATCCCTTTAATTTGTTGGCTAATACGGATTAGAATGCGACTGTGTCGAATACTTTTTGAACAGAAATTCAAATTACAACATTTGTCGATGAAAATTGTGATGCATTGTCCTGCGACAAAAGACGATCAAACGCTAGGGCTGCAGTTCCATGGTATTATTATATATAATTGAAGTTAACTACAAAAAATGTCCAGTCCATGGGTATTGAATTCCAGATACAATGTAATTGAGCTAAAAGTTTTCCATTCATCTTGCAAATACGAATTTCACCTAATTCTGAATAAACGCAATGGCACAGAATTAAGGATTCATATGTATGTTGCTGACCAGATTATGTTTAAAAAGAATTTGGAATTGAATAGATTTTTGATTTAAAATGTAGTTTTTCTTTATAGAATTATGAATATAGTATGTATGCTTATGTTGGCTCCTATTTCAAAAGAAACTACAACAAAATACAACATTCACAGAATAGTGAGCATTATGTCTCTTTATATATATTTGTCTTCAGCAGCATTGATTACCAATTTTTATGTTCTTAATCTAATTTACAAAGTACTTTATTTCTCTGATTTTTCCTATGCCTTGAATTACTTATAGCAGTTGATTTTGGTATAAGTTGACTCTTCAGATTTTTTGCATTGTTAGACCCATACAAAAAAGATTACAAGAGCATGAAATAAACGTGTTTAAGAGTCCCTGCTGTATTTATTTTAGAAAAAAGGGTTATGTGTTAGTCTTATAAACAGTTATTTAAAGCCCTAATAACCCTGATCGAGCTTCATTATTCATTGCTCCATTTGATTGAAAGTATTGAAATAAATTCTAACTTCCATAGAACCCATCTAAGCCAAGCTTTTGTTTCATAACCTGACTCGAAAGCGGCTAGAACAGTGGGGGGCGCAGATACTGCCATTATCCATTATCTATTGGGCGATATTCAGTGTCTACTCATTACTCACTTATCCGGACCGATAGCAGACGAACCCAGAACGTGAGTGGCTCACTTGATGTGGCGTTAAGGCTGCAAACGAAACCACGCCATAATTACTCATTTTTTGCCTTTTTTATTTTTGCTAATCAAACACACACACACACACACACACACACACACACAAACGATGGCGCACAGCAAAAACAAAAGCAACACACTTTTTTCTCAGTTTATCGGGCGCTTTTTAAGGGTGGCAATTTGGCGGCGTTCAAGTTCACTCGATGAAAGCACACACACACACACACATAGAGAGACTGAAATGCACACACGCACACACAGTGTAGTTCTCTCTCCCTTGCTCTGGCAGTGAGACAGCGCCGCCCCGTCCTGCTCACTCGCTGGCAGAACCGTTTGGCTAGAACAATAACGGCCATTAAAATGCTTAATTATAAATTCGCAAACGTAGCTTATTTTTTCAGCGTAGCTGTAGCTCTGTAGCTGTCGTCGAACTTCAGCAGCATCTACCCGCTCCACGTCCTCCCCTCTCCAGACAACATCCAGTAATTACTGAGCGCCCAGCGTGACGGTAACAGCGACGCGGACGCGGACGCGGACGCCGACACCGACGCCAACGTCTACGCAGTTGTACGCCGTTGCTGCTGCTTTCTGCGCTGCTCGTACAACTTTTGGCGTAATTTTAAAGCGAAAGCAAAATGAACTATTTGGGGGGTCACGTTATTGCTTTACCGATGATTATGGCGATGACGATGACGATGACGAAAACATTGACTTGACGATTTTGTGGTCGTAGCAGCGCACTCGCTCAGCCGCTCAGCCGCAGCGCTGCAGCCGCCGCACCACTTGAGACAGTCGACGCCGCTGCTTCTGCTGCTGCTGTTGCTGCCGTTGTCGTCGCTGCGCTGCGCTGGGCTGGCCTGAAGTTGATTTCCAAGCAGTTGGCGCTCAAATTGCTTATTAACGCAAATGTAGAGCAAACAATAGCATGTGGTTGATGCTTGAAAAGGAAGGGGGCACGGTGGGGCAGGGGGTAGGTTGGTGGTGCAGCCATTAAGTGGCATGCAAATCCAAATTGGAGCTGCCATCGGCACAGTGGCTTACAATTGATTTTAAGCCATTTGGCAATTTTAACAATTCAAGAACAAACAATTAAGCAAATTAGTTAATAGTAAGTACGCGCATATATTTCAAATTACTTAAGGCCTATATTTGTTGATGCAATTATCAATTATATCCTCACCAACTTTCTTACAGTATAATGTTTAGTTTTCATTTAAAACACTTAAGAACCAATATCAAATTATATTTATTTGTTAAATTTTTATAAAGTAAACACCAGTTGACATAATTGTTATGCTTAATACGCAATGTATTGCTTACAAAATTTGGCTGCATTTGGCGATCAACATTTAAATCGTTTTTATAAGCCATACCAAAATAGAATTTATGAATCACCCGTTAGTATTAAATTTAGAAACAAAAGACATGACTTAAGTTTATAAATGTAGCTTCAAAGCGCTTTAAGAGGTAATTGTTTATATTAACGAATGAATGAGCATCGGCTTTTAAGTGATTGAAATTTGCTGACAAATGTTTTAAATATGTTTATAAAATATCTGGCAGACTCAATAGATAAGCTTTTTATATTCATGATAAATTTTTACAAATGATATGAAATGCATTTTCGCCACAGTGCTTCGCTGCAAGTGAATGAGCCCAACAAAAAAAAGAGGTGTGAAAAATCAGAGCACAAAAATCCAAACAATTGTCGAGTTGGGCAAAAGACAAAGCCCATCATAAAGCAGCAGCAGATCCAGGCATTCACACACACATAGAGGAGGAAATGCAAATTCCTTGCGCTCTACACGATACGAGTATGAAATGGGGGGGCAAGACAATCTTGTGTGTTTTGCCAACAGCAAACACCTTGCCATAAGTTGTCCCTCTCTTTTTTTAAGCAGTTGGTCGACAGCTCAAGAGCCGCGGCGGATGTAATTAGTTCGTTAATTCATTAACAAACCCATTTAGAGATAAGTACTTGTGTTGGAAACCTGCTCTCGGCTTGCCAACGGTCGACCGAGGAACAATAATGATATCAAATTACCAGGTACTCACTCATCTGCTCACTCACCTGTATGCGATCCTCGGGCAGTTCCGTTTTCAGGGACAGCATCTCGCGCGCATACACATCAGGATAATGCGCTTCCTTGAAGGCTTCTTCGAGCTTCTCCAGCTGATAGCTGGTGAAGATGGTGCGACTGTGGCGACGCTTCTTTTTCTTCTTTTTACTGTTCGCACCAACGCCGACAGCCACGCCAAAGCCATTGAGGCCATCCATGGCAAAGTCTTTGGCAGCCAATGAGCCTGCAATAATTTAAGAAATGTATTTGGGTGTGGTAAGCAAATGAGGGCACAAAGGTGAGTGCAAATACAAGGATACTAGGATATTAATACGAGCTTATAGATTGGACAGTTACAAAGGCTCCTAGAATACTGCACCTATAAAATGCAGCACAGTTTGTTATTGTTGTTGTGTATTGTTAAGAATTTATATGCTTTTGTAGATTTTAAGGAAAAGGTTTAACAAATGCAGACAATTTAGATGTAAGCATAATTCTAATTCTGTAAATTTATTACAAAAACAAATTGACAATAGTTTTTATGAATTTGATGTTTTTTATTATTAATCCAAAGAAATTGTTGATAAATGTGTAAGTTGTTGCCAGAATAATTATAAGTATAGAAAGGGCATTTTAGTTGAGGAAGCTGACTGCTAAGCAAATTAATCTTGCTACTTCCTATTTAATAAGAACTTGGAAATATATGTCTTTGAAAGGGCACATTTTATTGAAACATTTTAAATATATAGTAAGTAGTTTGCTATATCTATATATCTAAATCGCTATATCGCTCAACAAGAAACAACCAGGAACAACTGGTCTGATTTTTTAAGACAAAGAAAACGCACTCCACAATTTTAAACTAAATAAGTAATAATTTCTTCTAACAATTGTTCCGCCCAGACCAAGCGACATTAATATTGGCATATAAAGTACAAATATGTGATTAATTAAGCGGATGAGCGCTATGATTTTAATTCAATCATTAAAAAAAGTTCATAAAATTCATGTAGTTCAATCAAATTTGTTTATATCATTTAAATAAGTATGATTCGACATCCACATAAGGGGTGCGCATATTACATAAAAGTAAAAGTGCAAATTCGAGTGTCTTACTTCTTTAAAAAAAGAGAAGGAAATTACGCAGATATTTGTAAATTTGTATTGCATTTTTATTGTAACTGTTTTCTTATCACTAGTCTTATTATCAAAAACAAATTGAAATAGATATACCTATGATTTGCGATAAAACAAACGATGGATAATTGAGTGAATTGGTTATATCGGTTGCACACAGTACCAAATTAGTTTCAAATAAAGCATTACCTACTATTAGCATTAAGTTGTGTGGCCCGATTCCCCTAATCATGCAATCATTAATATACCTGTACATACATACATACTCGTACATAGGCCTTTCAATCGTTTGCCTTGTCATCGTGAAATTAGTTGACAATTTCATTTACCCCTCTCCCTGCATCCCTGCATACACAGCATATATCGTTGCTTATATATATGTATATATAGTATATGCGTATAGCTGTAGCCACATGTTGGCTAAGTAGGCGCTGAAGCGCAACTTCAAGTGGCTTGCTCTGCTATGTTGTTGTTGTTGTTGTTGTGCCTGTCGACAGTGTCTGGCAATCAAATATGTTTTCTATTTTTTTTAAATATTTAATAATTGTATCTAGTTTCCAACTTCCTCATTTGTGTTGTTATTTCACTGTCAATGTCATCGCACATCAATTTTCTTTAAAGAACGAGAGACGTTGCATATTTTTCCTTTGTTTTGTCGTATTTTTTTTTTTTTTTGATTTTTTGATTTTTGATTTTGAGGAAAACCCCACTTGACATTGTCAAGCCACATGCGCTGACTGGGAAAAGTGAAAGCGCTTAGTTCCTCTAAGAGAGAGAAGAGGAAAAATGTAACTCAGTCCATCTTAAGATGAAGAAGCTGCCGCTGTTGACAGACTTGGATGAACGACATTGCCCGGAATGTGAGGTGAGGCCACTAACGAAATAATTTAAGGAGCTGTCTTCGCTCCAATACAGTATTTAGTAACCTGTTTTCCAAAACAAATGGACGAGGTGCTTGACACTTGAGCAGCGAAATCGCCAAATCGGCAAATCGCCACTTAGGATTTTCAAGATGTTGCTAAAACTGAGGACTGAAGATGCGTTAATATACTATACTACTATAATGCAGTTGAAAGGCAAATCGAAGAAGGCTCGCGAACGTCTTCAAGTACCCGGAAAACACAAATCAACAGCACCGAGCGCCATACACCATATATACATTAATATGCATACACGTATAAAGTGCCGCGCACCGTGGTTGAGAAGTCAATGAATAGGGATTTAGATTTCTATGGATAAGAAGGTATAAATGTAACTTAATGTGGCAGGACCAAAAGCAAGTCTGGAATTTCCAAGCAATGCAGCGTTTCTTAGCGTCCATCTTGGAAGGATAACTAAGAAAACGCAAAGATACTCTCATTAAGATGGGGTTTGTGCAAACTCTCGGCGCGATTCATAACTAAAATGGGGTGCAATAGCTATTGCGAGGTAAATACAAATAATAAACAGCTGCGAAACAGTTTTTAAAACATTAAAACAGTGTACAGTTTATTATATTTTATTTATTTGGGATGACATAAAAAAGTTAAGAGTATATAATTTCGTATATTTCTTAGATGATAGATTCATCTATTTATTTAGCCTTATATTCGGACTGACGTGCGGGCACTCCTACTTAGTTAGTTTGAGAAGTGACCTTCCTAACTGAAGAACAATTTATATACGAAATAAATATTGTCCACTGCAATAAATTAGGAATAGCTCTTTGAAAAACACACTATAATCCATTTTAATGGGCTTCGTTTTAGGCAAATTTAGGAGTTCCAGATTTATATAGTTCGACTGTGGATGGTATGGGCGGGATTTTAATTTGGTTTCTTTGTGAAAATCACTTAAACTGTCAACATTCTTGTTTAATATCGAACTTAAAGAATATATTTTTTCAAAATGTATAAGCATATTTTTCATCAACAATAACAGACTGTTGCCAATTTGTTAGTTGTAAAGATTTGCAATAACTAATTGGATCTTCCAGCGCCTATTAGAACGGGGTCACCAAATGTTGAGCGGTTAGGATTTTGGTTGGAAACACGTTGCAGTACATGAAATTTATTACAATTGCTGTGCTTCAAAATAAATAAGTATGGAATGAAAAGAACTGCAGCTGATTTTTCTGCCATGGCCGTGGACCAGCCTAAAGAAGAAGCAATTCAACCTAGAGGCAGAGGCCAACATATAGAAAACAATCAATTTTAAACCAGTATGCAGTACAGTGGACTGGAGTGGAGTGGACTGTAGTACGGCAGCCGTGGACGCAGACGCAGACGTAAAAGCGATGGCACCAACAACCTCGGCCACTCTATAGATGCAACTTCAACGTCTACGTCGTTGTCGTTGTCGTCATCATCGTATCTTTGCGATGCGTTGCGTTGCGTTGTCAGGCGTGCGTTGATCGGCAGGCAGTTTGGGAAAGTGCAAGAAACAAACGGCAACGGCAACAGCAACAGAAAAACAAAAACAAAAACCAACAACAAGCTGCAAACAAGCTAAGAAAAAATAATACCAAACCAATTCGCATTGAAATTCGATATGAAAAATTAAGTAGAAGTACTAGATGTTGTTGTTGTTGCTGTTTTACAAACCACCGCCACCACCGCCGCAGTTTCTGCGGTCCCTTCAAGCTATTGAAGTGCATTGAGAGCTGCTGATGAGGCGCTGAGTAGTCGTCATCCTCGTCGTCGTGGTCGTACTCGTACTCGCTGTCATCATCATCATCATCATCATCATCATCTCACTCCAATCATCATTACAATCATCGCATGTACATGTCCTGTAAATCGACTGACTTATTTTCCACTAAATGTGCGTGAAAATATCTTCAAGATGCGCAGCGTTGAAGTGAAAACGTGTAATGAATGCGATTTTTGGCGTTTCAAATTACAAGAGCCGACAGGCACATTCATTCACAGACAGACCCATAGAAACAATCCCAGATCTTGCCACTCACCAGCCATAAGTGCGGTTGTATTATTTAAATGGAAGGATCATAATTAATAATCGTCGAGAAATCAGTGAGTGTTGAATTAGAAATCGCAGTTGCCAATAATAAACATCAACGTTTTATAAAACTCTAAGCAATGGGTTTGACCAGCAAGGAACTGGCTTGCTTATAATTTGGACTGGATACTTATTTAAAATGATTTTCACTAGATTTGATATCTCGTAGGGTATATCTTTGAGCACTCAAAAGATCTTAGAAGTAGAAAAGAGGCCAGTATTCGGGAACTCCAGCCAATTAATAAGTGAAAAGCCACATTACTGACGACCTTCTGGTTATATTGTAAGCCCATTTAGTCAACAAGTAAAATAATTTGGAGAAATGTTATTTGCTTCAAAGGACATTTTACGAGTTTCTTTCGCTTAGCGTCTTAAGCCAGAAATAAATTGTGTTTCTCTCTGTAGAGAGTCCTAAATTGTTGATGTTTTTTTTTTAGTTACTAGTACTATGTTGCTTGCTGCTTTTAATGAGCCATAAGCCGCACAACTAACGCAATCATTCAGATAAAATTGTACGTATATATTTATATATGTATGTACATACTCGTAGTATGTATGTGAATTAAAAGCACGCGCAAGATTATTGAAAGTTTTGTCGAGAGCGACGACAACGGCAGCATGCCAACATGAATGCTAGCACACAGCAACAACAACAACAACAACAATAAGAACAACAAGAGCAACAACAGGAGCACCCACATAAGCACGCCCACACACACACACACACACACACATACACGCACACACAGAAACACACATGCATCACAACATATTAGCAATTAAAATTTTCTTAGTTAATTACTTTAAGCAGACGACGACTACGACGCTGCTGATGTTGATGATGATGGTGGCAATGTAGAGGGCGGGTGGTGGGCGGTATGCGGCAGGCGGCAACAAACAAAAGCAACAACAACAACAGCCAGTTGGGGCAACGTCAGCAAAAATTCCACAGCTAAAAATGTCGCACAAATGAAAGTTGAAGGCATCCAGTGTGTGTGTGTGTGTGTGTGTGTGTGTGTGTTTGTGTGTCCAGGTCGTTCGTTCGCTGTACATTTGCAAGTTTTAATACAGTGGCCCAAAACCTAACACCCAGACCCACAAGACCCAAGC